ACTGCCCCACGTATGTTCAGTACAGTTGCTTTATGTCTATAACAGCTAATGCCCACCAGCGGCAAACAGAGAGACCAACTGAACTGTGGAGTGTAAAGTTGGAAGTGGACATGAAGTGTTAATGTGATGGTTCAGCCAGAAAATAGATTTGCTTCTGTAATTTTGCACTGGAGGCTAATATAGTTAACAAGCAACAGAAGATTATAACACCTGTTAGCATTGTGCAAACAGAATGTCTCAGTCAACAAACATCTGCCTTGACCTGCATGAAGGTATTAAGTAAACAGCTTAATGAGTAAGAGCATGGACAAAATTTATACTTTAATATACTTCTACTTTTACCTATGTAACTCACTTTTGTTAATTTGTATTGATAACAGTATGCGCTGGTGCAAAATCTGAAGGAATGACACCCCACTTTTTAAGATTTTTCAGGAAAATGTGGGGGTTATATAGCTTGTATTACTGCTAACTATTTTGAGAATGAAAATGTCTCCACCAATTATACTGTGTTGTAATTTCAAGCTGGCTGTTTGAGTGAAGATGTCCTGTGCACATGTCTTGGCTACAAAAGTCCCTGGCATTCTGCAGCAGTACATAGCCAAGCAGCTTGCCTAACAGTTAATTTCACTACATTTTATTTATTTCAGTATTACATTATTTTCTGTCTACACTACAAAGCATCCACATATGCAGTGTTAACTTCTCAGCAAATGTTTGTTCTCTAAAATAGATCCTTCAGTTAACCCACATGAGGACATATTTCAATATTCAGTTAATAGATATATCACTTCAGATATCAGATACGTACATTATATGTATATATGTTCCTTACATTTTAAAACTCTAATGTAACCCAGAAAGGGTTTTTGTTTTGTTTTGTTCCCTGCTGAAAAACAGCTTAGACCAGCCTGCTGAGCCCTGCTGGTGACATAAACCTGCTGGTAAATAAAAAAAATGTGTGGCCACAATGTATTAACATGTGGGAATGAGATCTTAATCTGTGGCCATGACTTAGTAAGGCATGGGAACAAGATCATGTTTTATTAATCTGTGGTCAAGGCTCAATCCCACACCTTACTAAATCATGGCCATGCATTAGGACCTCGTCCCCACACCTTACTAAGTTGCGGCTACAACTTAATTATCTCGTTCCCCTGCCTTACTAAGTTGTGGCCACGGATTGTTACAAATGAAAAAAATTGTTACAAATGAAATGTCTTTACTGTACTGTGATCATTTGTCAGCTTATGCCACAACAGTAATCAACAGTCCTTCCTTTTTCTTAATTGATATCACAATCATCATTATTAAAAGCATTCTCCCAAAATATTAGTAGCAACATGCAGCTCAGACTATGAATTTCAGTGACACAGCGGAAAGGAAAAAATACCACTGTAGTTATTAAATTAAATCTCTATACCGTATAAGAAAAGGCATGACATTATTGTTCCTGTTAATAATATAGTTTGTTTTTATGTTGTAATATTGACAAATAAAGCATTAGATCTCATGGCAATATGATAACTTTAATTTTAGGGATACTCTGTTTACCTATGGTAACTATAGTTTTCATATGAATTGCTGTATGTAGGTGGTCTTCCACTAGCCAGACCAAATTTTCACCCCGATAATATGTTCATACAGCATCCAAAACCACATAAGCACTTTAAAAAATACTCCACAGCTCTACAGTTTCAGGCAAATATGTGATGAATTAGGTATGAATTGCAAAAGGCTAACAGCTTCCATTAGCATTCCTTTAATTCTGTAAGGCTTCCACTGCTTGTTAGAGCATTAGCCTCCTGTGCAAAACTAAAGAAGCAGACTATAGACACCGAATATGTCTTAGCTGATCATCTATGTTTGGAGTAATGGGAAAATTTAGTAAATTTGATTTTAGGCCCAACTATAACTGTATCAGACTGCACTGAGCATCACAGACAATAGACCTTAATGAGAGCAAGCATTCTGTAGCCCCCCTGGAAGAATTTGTTTCCTTCCTGTGTGTGGGCACTGTGAACTTCCTCGTTTGCTTTGCTTGGCTCGCAGAAGCGCCAGCGGAGCGTGCAGGCGTCCTTTACGTTTCACAGTTGTGACAGATTTGCCTCATTGTCTGAGGCTGTGTATCAGAGGGCAAACTTACAGCATTGCGTGTCAGTGTGTATTAGCTTTCCTGGCCGCCTTTGACCTGAAACAATGATTAAAAGGCAAGTCTTTAACTAGCATACTGCACCCCAGGGGAGAGAGCATGTCACTAGCGAGTAATGCTAATTTTTGTCTTGCAAGACCACAAACACTGTTTGCCTTTTATGTATGCAAGTAATATTTGAGGAAGAACATAAAATAACATGTATACGAGCTATTTTGAGCATCTGAACATTAAATACACTACACAGTAGTTTGCAAAAGTCAGAGACCACCCTTCATGTATTTATTTTCCAGACAAAATGATTATTATGTACAAGTTACTAATTTTTCAGAAAAAAAGCAGAAAACATGCATATAACAGAAAATTACATACAAGCCTCAACACCTTAATATAATATGATTTTATTCAAGTATTCAGTGTATCCACACTTTGCCTTCATCACAGCTTCCATTCTTTTCAGGAGACTCACTTTCAGCTTTTCAAAGGAATCTGTAGGGATGTTTTTCTTCATCTCCAAAGTTCAATCTTAGAAGTTGGTGCCATTTTCTGCTTCTCATAATCCAGCCCAGTCCATTGTTCTGAGAACACCAGCAGCTTCTTTTTTTGATTTGTAAATTTCCTTCTTTTATTATCTGTTTCCTTATGTCAATATAAGGGCTTCTTGACAGCTACACATTCTCTCATACCCACAGTATTGAGTTGTCCTCTTACAAGAGTGGAGTTTGATTTTCTCCTCTCTCTCAAAGATGAGAACTTGAGGTACTGTTTATCTGATGTGACAAGTTTGGTGGCCTATCTTTAATTATTTCTTTACATCAGTTTTGGAAACATATTTTTTCACTCCTTCCTTATACAAGTGGATTTATTTGTATCTAACCTCCTCAGTAACATCTAATAAAAAAATCTAATAAAAATGAATTAACTTGTACTTAATCACTGTTTAATCCAGCCTTTCTTCTGAAATCAAGGATATTCATAGGGAGCTTGCCACCCCCTCACTCCAGACAAGCAGTTCCAATGATCCACAGTCCAGTGCTGACACTTGGCATCTGACATGGTGATCTTAGGCTCAGGTACAGCCACTCCAGAGTTAATCCAGCTTGAAGAAGTAGAACTACTAAGAAATACTAACTGGATACTTTTTTCACATTCTGTGTAGTATTTAATCTGGTGCTGATATGACCCCCATATAGTGTTTGAAGTAGCAGCATGTTATCAATATATAATCAACACAGAGAAAGAAATAGACATTATTTAGGCTATTTTTTTTATTTACTCATAGAGCAAAATGTCAAAACCTGGTTAATGAACCTCTGTCATGTCTTACATTGTGTAAACAGTAACAAAACAAACCACCAAGCCCCATTTTATCATATTTAAGTAACACAAGTCATACTGTTGTACTCACCACATGTATGAGCAGACATGTATGTGTAACTAGTCATCACTGGCACTCAGCGTGCCAGCTTGTCTTAAAGTAAGTATCAGGATCATTACAAAGCCTTGGTCAGAAAGAAAATCAACCAGCTGATGACATCACCAGCCATACACTGTATGCCGTGTTCAATATAACAGCAGGCCCTGATCAAGAGCCGCTAACAGTGCATGACTCAGCAAGCAGCATTGATTTTACTGGGAGAAAGTAGGGAAAAACAATTATAGACTTTAAGTGAAACAGATGAAGAATCTCCGCCCCAGGGTCAGCGTGATGTAAAAACACTCCTATCCCCTCATGTCCTGTGTCTCTCATTGACTTCCTTTTATACACTACAGCCTCAAAGGCTCTTGAACTGATATGGCTAAAAGATGTCCTGGGGGCTGAATTAAAGATGTTTTTCCACAGTAATAGCTCGGACGTGTTAGCCCGCTGCAGTTATGGACTCTCTTGTTTTTTTCAGGCTAGTTTCAGCTTTATTGACTAAACAACAATGCTGTAATGATGTTCATTGCTATGTCTGTTCCCTTAATTAGAAGAAATGCTATGCTGTTCAGCTCTTTGTAGCACCAGATAAACAGTTTCAGTGCTTTAGTGCATTTGAATATTAGCATTTTCGCAAGCATTTTCTCCACATAGTTGATGCTAAATACAATATCTGGAATATTGGACAGAAGAAGCATCATCTTTCGCTTTTTGTATGTAGGTATATGTATTTGTCTTTCTAAAAAAAAAGTTGGTGGACTATTTTCAGTCCAGCAGTGACACACACTAACATCAGTGTTACTGCAGTGCTGAAAATGATCCACCACCCAAATAGTACCTGCTCTGTGAGGGTCCATGAGGGGTCCTGACCATTGAAGAACAGGATAAAAAGGGGCTAACAAAGTATGCAGAGAAACAGATGGACTACAGTCTGTAATTGTAGAACTACAAAGTGCACCTATATAGTAAATGGAGCTGATAAAATGGAGAGTGTAGAAACAAGGAGGTGGTCATAATGTTATGCCTGATGCCTACACACACACACACACACACACACACGTATATGTATATATATATGTAGACATCAAAGACAAATTTGATGTCTGACATTCTGTAGTTGAATAGCATCAGAAACCATATAAGCAATTCTACTTTTTACTTACTTAAAGATTAAGGCAGTTTAAGGCAAGTGTGTAAGGATTTGGGCATGCAGTTTGCACCATGCTAGTTGATGTGGCATAAGCTAGCAGTACATCTAATCTCCATTAGCTCTGTAGCTCTAGAGGCCATGTGTCAAACTCAAGGCCCGCAGGCCAAGTCAGACCCAAGGCACAACCCTATTCAGCCCGCAAAATTATTTTAACTGTGGGCCAGCAGTTACACAAAAAGAAAAGATGCCTGGTGTCCAGTTCAAGCAAATAGGCAGTTTTAAAAAACCTACCTCCTGGGGACATTTAAAGAGGTTTAACCATTATAGTGGCTTCTACTACTGTTTTTATAGGTCATATAGTGTCAGAAACCATTTAAGTATGTTAGAGATTATTTAGCAGCTTGAATAGTTTGTGGCAAGTGTGTGATTTATATATGCAGTTTTGCAGTGTTAACTGTTGTACATACGTTTCCAGTACTTGTTAGCTAAATTAGCCTTGTAGCTCCAGTAAAAAAACTAAAGAAGACGTTTTTTTGGACGCCAAACATAATCTGGGATAATCAACACATTTTGGGTTAAGGGGAAACTTGCCTAAAAATTGATTTTAAGAAATCAAGCCACATGCCTCTTTTCTGTGTGGTGTATGTCTTTGGGAGAAGGTGTCGGACAGGTCATGGTAATTCTGGGAAGTCGTTTGCCCTTTGAGTTGCAAAGCTCCACAGTGCGTCCCACAGTGGAACTGTACGGACCCGGGTGTGGGCAGTCCCTCTGGTGCAAGTGGAAATGGGAGTGGACTTGTGGCAGTGTTGTGTGGCAGGGCAGGGGGGAGTTGAGAATCTGGCGACGCAGGTGCTCCTGAAAATCGGACAGTGGCTCTAACAGGTGTGGCTCACCTGGACAGGGGATGTAGCTGTCTTCCAACAGGAAGTGAAAAGCTCTTCTGTTGGTCACCTGGGCCTTTTTGAGCACAGGCCTCAGAGGCTGGTGAGTTCTTGTGATTTGCCTCGTCTCTTTTGCTGTGTCGGGAGTGATAGGGTATATGGCCTGTACCACTGGACTGTGGAAGGTGATGCGGGTTGCAGGGTGCACCTCAGGGATGGCTGAAGATGAGGGCAGCAACTGAGAGCCTCCTCTTATATTCAGTGTCTTTTCAGAAAAATGGATTTCACCTATAGGTGCATTCTGAGGATGACCCGTTGTGTGGACATGCTGAGTTGCACAACTTTCTGGTTTATCTGGCCTTCAAAGACATAAAAATAGACAGTTCTAGCAAAGAAACAAGTGCACATACATCACTGTGCAAAAGTCAGAGACCACCCTTCATTTATTTAATTTCCAGCAAAAATGGCCATTAGATAGAAGTTGTTCATTTTTCAGGAGATATTACTGAATATATAAGATAAGATAAGATAAGATAAGAAAAGAAAAGATAAGATAAGGAAGAGGAAAGTCAAAGTCACTGAAAAATAGGTGTTTCTAAAATTCAGTATAAAAAATGATTAAAAGATACAGAGACAATTGGACCCCAAGAACCGTCCAACGCCTGGTAGACCACCAAAACTGTCCCCATCAGATAAACAGTCTTGCTTTGAATGTGTCAAAATCCACAGGTGTTTCTGTCCATCCTTCAACTGTGAGAAGTTAACTTAGCGCTATAATAATAACAATAACAATCATTTTTTATTTTTATTACTTTATTTATAGATCACTTTTTATACCAGTGGCAGCTCAAAGTGCTTCACAGACAGGTGATAATAGTAATTATTAATAGTAATAGAAGAAATTCAAGGTGAGCTTGATTTTCTTTTATTATTGTTAGCGTTCGTTAACAGCAATATAAGAAAAATAAATCTTTAAAGATGCCGTTACTGAGAAAGGAAAAAGGCAAAAATGAAGATTAGAAAATCAAACAAAGTAACTGCTGGTGTTTTCAGTACAATGAAGTGACCACCCCAGAGTCCAGATTACTTGGATCATGAGAAGCAGAAAATGTAACCAACTTCTAAGACTGAATTTAGAGGTGTAAAAAAATATCCCTGAAGGTTTCTTTAAAAAACTGAAATCTAATCTCCTCCAACAGAATCTGTAATAAGGGCAAAGTATAGACACACTGAATACAAAAAAATCATATTATATTTAGTTATTAAGGCCACAATGGGTAGATTCTGACTTTTGCACAGTACTGTAACTTCCTTTGGCACAATTAAATAGGAACAATCTTTAATGCATGAAAAATATTTAAAATGTACAATGTACTAATTTCCCTTATCGGGTGCTGTAGTGCCTAACAGAAGTACAGTATCTAAAATGTGTGCAACCAAATTAATCCCTGGTTATTCTTTATTTCAACTTTGCAAAGCCCAATTACGCTCTTAGAGCTTGACTGGAATTTAGTTTTCAACTCAATTTAACAGTTACTGTTGCTTGCAGTTATGTTCATAAATGAAAGTTCTGAGAGCGGCTAATGTAAATGAGCCCTTAACAAGCACTTCTGTCCCTAGTGTCCCACTTCCAAGTGGCTCGTCTTTTGCCTTTCAGGGAAACAGGACCTATTTCAAAGCCATTTCAGAGTTCAACCTCATCTCACACTTTACTAGCTCACCGTCTCAAGCAAACATTCCTTTTGCTTTGATTAATTTCATTTCATTGAGCCACTTTAATTCCGCTTTATTAGCATGGCTGAGGGAGCTGATAGCTATGGAAATCTGCATGCTCCGCTCTCATTCTCTCACTCTTTCTTTCTCTCCCTCTCACTTCCGAGCGCTTAACCCCACTCTCCACGTCTCTCTGGCACCTCCTGCCTCTGATAAAGCTGCTTTCCCACACTGTGGCGAGACTAACCAGGCTTTAAATCACCAATAAGCAGAAAATGACTCTGCGTGCGTCTGCTGCGCAAGATATCGACTGTACTTTTTGCAAAATTACACTTGGGGGAATTTAATGAACAAGTTCTTCACCACAAAGTGAAGTTCAGTCCTTGGGGAAAATAAAAAAAGGAAACTACACCACTGTGGATGCAAGACCTGGGGACATTTCTGGGTGAAAGGAGCAGAGAAATTTTACTTCCTTCTGGCCACATGAGAAGGCTACTGAGTATTAGTGAAGCACAGAAGTTCATTATGGCTCATAATGAGGTGTGAAGCCTGTGGAGGGTTGGTTTGATCTTTAAACTGGTTTGTTGGAGGTTATAGCTTTGTGTGTACAGTGGTGCTTGAAAGTTTGTGAACCCTTTAGAATTTTCTATATTTCTGTATAAATGTGACCTAAAACTTTATCAGATTTCCCCACAGGTCCTAATAGTAGATAAAGAGAAACAAATTAAATAAATGAGACAAAAATATTAGACTTGGTCATTTATTGATTGAGGAAAATGATCCAAAATTACATATCTGTGAGTAGCAAGAGAATGTGAACCTTTAGGATTAGCAGATAATTTGAAGGTGAAATTATAGCCAGGTGTTTTCAATCAATAGGGTGGTCACCAGGTGAGTGACCACCCTGTTTTATTTGAAGAACTGGAATCTATCACAGTCTGGTCTTCACAACACATGTTTGTGGAGATTTCTGAGGGCCTCAGAAGAAGAGTTGTTGGTGCTCATCAGGCTGGAAAAGGTTACAAAACCATTTCGAAAGAGTTTGAGCTCCACCAATCACAGTCAGACAGATTGTATACAAATGAAAAAAAATTGAGACCATTGTTATGCTCCCCAGGAGTGGTCGACCAACAAAGATCACACCAAGAGCAAGCTGTGTAGTAGTCTGCAAGGTCACGAAGGAACCCAATGTAACTTCTAAGCAGCTAAAGGCCTGTCTCACAGTGGCTAATGTTAATGTTCATGAGTCCACCATCAGGAGAACACTGAACAACAGTGGTATGCATGGCAGGGTTGCAATGAGAAAACCGCTGCTCTCCAAAAAGAACATTGCTGCCTGTCTGCAGTTTGCTGAAGATCACATGGACGAGCCAGAAGACCATTGGAACAATGTTTTGTGAACAGATGAGACCAGAATAGATCTTTTTGGTTTAAATGAGAAGCGTTATGTTTGGAGAAAGGAAAACACTACATTCCAGCATAAAAACCTGATCCCATCTGTGAAACATGGTGGTGGTAGTATCATGGTTTGGGCCTATTTTGCTGCATCTGAGCCAGGATGGCTTGCCATTATTGATGGAACAATAAACTCTGAATTATAAAAACAAATTCTAAAGGAAAATGTCAGGACATCTGTTTGTGAGTTAAAACTCAATAGAACGTGGGTCATGCAGCAAGACAACGACCCTAAGCACACAAATTGTTCTACCAAAGAATGGTCAAAGAAGAATGAAGTTAATGTTTTTGGAATGGCCAAGTCAAAGTCCTGACCTTAATCCAATAGAAATGTTGTGGAAGGACCTGAAGCAAGCAGTTCATGGGAGGAAACCCACCAACATAACAGAGTTGAAGCTATTTTGTATGGAGGAATGGGCTAAAATTCCACCAAGCCAAAGCGCAGGGCTAATCAACAGTTACCGGAAACATTTAGTTGCAGTTACTGCTGCACAAGGGGGTCACACCAGATACTGAAAGCAAAGGTTCACATACTTTTGCCATTCACAGATATGTAATATTGGATCACTTTCCTCAATAAATATATAACCAAGTCTAATATTTTTGTCTCATTTGTTTAATTTGGTTCTCTTCATCTGCTATTAGGACTTCTCGTGAAGTTTTTGGTCAAATTTATCCAGAAATGTAGAAAATTCTAAACTTTAAAGCACCACTGTAACAGCTAATATTTTAATAAACGTCCTCTTGAAGGGTATTATACCTGCGTCCAGCTCGGCATGGTGGCCTCTCCAGACTTCTGGATGTGATGGCTGGAAGAAAACCCCTGGAACTAGTGCATCCAGTGCCTTTGACCACCAGGGTGCATCTATGGAGACAGTTTATGTTTGAAATATGACTTCGCTGAGTTGCCAGTTTTCTTAGGTAACTTACACCTAGATTTATTGGCCATTTAGTCAGAAACCCTTGCTATACAGGTGTACTCTGTAGGTTTACAATTACTCTTAGCCCATCTGTTACTGCATAATTTACCACCCCGCCCCCCTATATCCCATCCATCAATGAAAAGGGACCACCATAGGACCATTTACTGGCCACTTTAGTAGAAACACCTACCTTGTTGGTCCACTTTGTATGAGTTAGAAACGATAGCTTATCTGTTGCCACACAATTTGCGTTAGTCATCCTCTAGCCCTTCATTAGTTGTCAGTTTCTGATGAAAGAGCTATTTTTGGCAGCAGAGATCCTGTGGTGGTCCCTTTCTATTGATGGGTAAGGTGGGGGGGGCTGATAAATTGTGTAGCAAAGGATGGCCTAGTCAGCAAGTAAACCTACAAAGTGTAAGTGAAAATCAGTTAACACATTCTCTACAACTTAAATATATAAAAAACTGAACATTTTAATGCTCAGTTTCTATTTATTTGCTGAGTTTAACATATTGGAAAAAATAAAATGTGCTGTAACCTTTGCACAGGCCAATATGTTACATTCAGCAAAAAATAGTAACTGTGCTTTGGAATGTGCAGAAGTGTGTTCCCTGTAGAGGTTTACATTTTTCCACTCCTTTAAATATCTTAAATTTCAGAGCTTCATAAATTCCAAAATCCACTCCTTTCCATTACCACCTGACAGCCATAGAACAGTCAGCAGTTAATAACACAGTTTCTAAAAGTCAAATCTCAACACTGTACAGACATTTTGCAAACAAGTCAAACAAAACATCAAATTCTAAGAGACTGGCCTGGAGTCATAATTTACAGTGATGTCAGTGACGTTGACTGGAATTATAGTTACCTATCATTGGAATTATAGTTGTCTTTACTCTATAAACACACGTCTGATTCAGTATAATTGGTTGATGAGAACTTATATTACTCCAGAGAAACTGTGCAAAATGAACCCAGATATCCCAGATACATGTGTAAAATGTGCAGATATGTTATTTCATTTTTTATAGGACTGTGTAGAGATACAGAACTTTTGGAGACAAATAATAGGATTTTTTTCTAGGATTCTCTCCAAAGAAATACCCATATATCCAAAACTTTGTATTGTGGGTCTGTTCTCCAGAGACCTTAACGCTTAAAAACATGAACGCAAAATAGTAGACCTCTGTCTCAGATATGCTAAACGCCTGATTAGCACACCCTGGAAAAGTATGTACGCACCTTCGGTGAAAGAGTTATCTTCGTGTCTAACTTTGGAAAGAACAATTTATACAATAAAATGTAATCAAGGTTTTTTATAACATGGAATTTGTTTCTAAATGTTTTGGTGGAAAGAGATATTAGTCGGCATCTTGACATTCCACCTGCGAATATGTTGAACACATAAATGTATTTATTTATTTACTTACCCTGTTATCAACAGCATCATCATTGTTATTATTCTGTTTTATTTTTTCCTTTATTAATTTTAATTTAAAAGTGAATCACATTGTTTCATGATTTTGCATCTTTAAAATATGGGACAATTGTACATTTTGCAATAAAGCCATTCTGAGCTGATGTTTTAAGTTTTGAGATGGCGGGACGTTTGTGGAAGGGCTGAAATGTTCAGATGTAATTAATAAATATAAGTTAAAAAAATGATAAAAATGGCTAATGATTTCTGGCACAAGCTAGATGCACCTAAACTGGCAACTCATTATTAGCCTCACATTTTTGGTATGATGATTTTTTACAAAGATTATTCCTTCATTTTGATATGAAGTCAAGATTAATTTATGAGAAACATGTTGGTCCAAGGCACATCAACAGCAAACTGCTTATATTGAATTCATTACTTGGAAGTGATGAGAGGTGGCAGGTTGAGGCCAGAGATGACTTGTTCCTTTGGGTGTCTGTGTGACCTTTTGACTTTTGAGTCAAAAGCTAACGTGCTCTTCACAGTGGGCAGGCTCTTTAAACTCTGAGTATCCTCTTCATCGTCCTCTTCCTCCTGATGAGCCCCTCTGATGAGAGGGGGCAGTCTGATAGTCACATCCTACAAAGCAAATAAACGGACAGAAGTTACACACGACATTCCACGCGCCTTATCAGTGCTGCAGTGATCTGTGACTGAGAATATACAGTGAGTCTAAGCACAGCAGTGACACTTACTGGCCTCTTTGTTAGATACACCTGCCTTGTTTGTACACCTTGCAGGTATAGAATTAGACAGAGAGAGAGAATTTTTTTTTTTTTTTGCATCTTCTGCCCCTTCTTCAGTGGTCAGTGTCTGACCACAGAAGTACTGTTAGGTGTATTTGTTTGGTTGGCAGAGCTGTCTGAGCCCAGCAGTGACATTGACATGTAAAAAGTCTAATGCTGCTGCATCGGATGTTCTTATACACTACCTTACTGCCACCATGTTGGTTTCACTGCTGCACTGATAATGGTCCACCACTCGAATAATATCTGATTAGTAGTGGTCCTATGGTGGTCCCTTTCCATTGATAGGTGGGTTAGAGGGAGTCTCATAAACTGTGCAGTAACAAATGGGCTACAGTCACTCAGTGAACCTACAAAGTGTACTTGTATGGTAGGTGTTTCTGATCAAATGGCCAGTAAAGGCAGTTATTTACCTAATAAACTGGCAACTCAGTGAATACCCATATTTCTAACATAAACTGTTTCCATAAATGGACTCTGGGGTGAAAGGCTTGGATGTACTAGATCCAGGGGTTTCCTACAAACCGTCGAGAGGCCACCATGCTGAGCTGGACAGCTGGACTGTAGGTAGAAGGTAAGTGTTTACCATGTTTTTGTGTTAAAGTGGGTTATTTAGGCAGTTTTTACTTACTATTTTACTTATACGTGCTAAAACTGACCCACATGGTGCCATATTGACACACATAACATGTTTAGAGGCTGTAATCTCCAGTGCCATAGTTCTCTTTGGAGTTACCTTGTGCTGTCGGACTGAAACTGGTTCTGAGTAGTAGGATGGAACAGGAGAAACCTCACGGGACGGTAACTGGCTTCTTCTCATTCTTTCAGAAATGTAGCTCAGCTGGCCTAGTGACAAAGAACAGTGCTACTGTATATTATCCCAATTTTTAAAGACTATTGAGCACAATGGGACATTTTTGTATACAGTATTGATAATCAAACTGTCTGTAATTACACTGGTCTGTTTTTATATCCAGTGAATTACCTTATAGATCATCCATGAGTGCTCTCCCTAGAGATTTCTGAGCAAATAATGTCCCTCACCAGCCTCCAGCCTCATCCATGGCAGCGTGTTTCTCTGTGACGCCCATCCTCTTCTCCTTACATCACCTTCAGATGAGTAACATCTGAGAAAATGTGTTGCTTGGAACACATGCAATTACCAAACACATTTGAATCAATAATCCTAAACCTTCCCATCATATAAATAATAGTTTTTAATTAAAGTTGAGTTTTTCTTCAGCGGTGATTCCTCTATTACCGTAACCAGCATGATTTCTAGAATTCCATTAGTATGGGAATGCATTAGCATATAAATAGGTATTTTGTTGCATTAATTCAAAGCATGTGCTGAGAAAAAAAAATACATGGTGATAATTTGTCTATTACTCATCCAGGAAAACTCTTTTACCCAATCCCATGCTTTAAGACAAATTAATCAAATGCACAATCCACCATGAAATAAACCTCCACCCGCGCCCGTTCTTTTCTTTCAAATCATGTATTTCTCTTTTTCAATCTCCCATCTGACTCTATGTGGCCTGAAATGAGCCACAATTATTCACAATCCAGAGCAGCAGCTTTAAAAGCAACTGAAACAAAATGTTATTTATGATGGTGAATTTCTCTTACCGCTGCTTTGAGACTCCTCTCTGGTCCAGCGTCCAAAAGAAAACAAAATAGCCCACTGAATGATGGCTGTGCTGCGTGCTCCAGGTCCAATAATATATGTAATATAATCCAAACGAGAAGCCTGTAAAACATACCTGTTCCTGAACTGCCTGCTGGACGGACTGACTTCCTCTTCGCAAGGAGGAAAGTCTTTTGTCCTTAAAGTGTGGACATTACTCTGACCAATGCCAGTTGCAGCCCACAAGACGTCTGGCTCCTGATTGGTCAGTTATCCTCAGGCAAGACCCCACACAGAGCTGTTGAGAAATTCCTTCTGTTTACAGCTTTATTTGCCGAAGGATTATTTCTGACAAGAAACCGAAGCAAAGTAGAGAGTGCAGATTATTTAAAGTCTGATTATCACAATTATGAGATTTAGCTACACTGTATGTCCAAAAAATGATAAGACTCCTGTTTATTCTGCATTTCTTCTGGAATCAAGGGTATTAACAAGGAGTTTGTTCTCAGGGGAGGTTTTATACTAGATGTTAGAACATTGCTGTGAGGATTTGATTGAGCATTAGTGAGGTCAGGTGAGGTCTGGATCACAAACACCACTACAACTCATGCCAAAGGTACTGGATGGCACTCACTCCAGAGAACAGAGTTTCACTGCTACACATCCCACTGCTGGGGGGCTTTATACCCCTTTAGCTGGCATTGGGCATGGTGACCTTAGCTCACGTGTGGCTGTCTCTATTTCTACTGGCACTGCTTTTCTGTAGAGTTAATACAAACTGTCAGTGTGCAGTCGAATGGGGTGCAGCTTAAAGATGCTGAATTCAGTAATTAGAAGTGATGTCTGGACACTTGAACATACACTGTATGTCACAGAATTGAAATAACTTGAAATTTAAGAAGATATGGTTGTATGTAAAGGTTTGAGGCAAGAAGTTTGTATGCAAATTACCCTTTGTTGAAGTAGAAATAAGTTGACAAATCCTCTACAGAGAACACACTTAAATATGGCATTTTCCTGCAAATGTTAGTGCATGATTTTGCTGTATTTGCTGAGCTTAACATAATGGAAAAACATAAAATATTAAACATGCCATTTATGAAGTTATAAACAATAATTGTATATTAAAATGTGCATAAGTGTGTTCGCTGTAGAGGATGTTAACTTTTTTCACAAAATCTTTTCTCTTTCTTTCCTCCTGACATCTTATAAAGTCTCCTTTTGTTGGAAGCAGTTGCACATTTGTCATTTCAAAAGCTGGAAACTTCCAAATAATCACTTCACAACCGAATAACCAATTCTAACAATCCAAAGCCAGTGCAGTTGAATCTCCACGTTCACACTGATGCATTTCTTCAGCTCCGGTGCTGCCTGAATCTGGTGAAATATTAACAGGGCTGCTGCAGAGCCAGCTGGGCAAGAGAGAGAGGGCAGCAAGCGTGCTTTAATCTACAGACCGAGTGACCTGACGGGCCTCCTGCTGCGTTCTCCTATACAATCCACCACCATCACACATTCCATCTACAACAATCATTACTCCATCCCTTCTTTCTCTTGTACACACATGCGCCGTTGGCATACACGGTTCAGTTGGCTGCCTGTTTCCTGGTAGGCAAATCAGTAGCCAGCAAACGTCCGAAACGGAGACGTCAATGGAGTTTAATGCAGAACAAACGTGAAAGTAATTTAAATGATACGGATGACATAATTGTTTTGATTCAGTTTAGCATATCTGATGGTGTATGTCAGGAAAGCTCATATTGCTGAAGTATGGCACAGTGAAGTTTATAGTAGACATGTGCTTATATTTAAAAAAAGTTTTTAGTGAAACTGCAAGTTGTTGGACTTAAATGTGGTGGCGGTAATTGAATATCAGCCCATCAAGTTTATGGAAAATTCATAGGGCTACTACACCCTTGTGTGTATTGTTGTAGGAAAAATCTTTCATTGGTGTAGAACCTTTACATTAGGTGGAGCTTCTTTAAACTTTAAAAGGATTCTTCACACTCCCTTCTAATGAAAGTTTTTCTATAGCATCACCCTAAAACCCTTTTGGCACATATATTTTGGAGTATAAATGTCAATGATGCCATTGCAAGTTTGTCTGCACTTAATACCAAGTCAGAACTGAGAAGTTTATGACTTCAAAATTCTATTTAAACTGTTCTCCAACTCTTATCACTTGGAATTCTCAAGAGCTTTGACTTCTCAGAGCTGCAGTCCTGTGACATCATTTAAGGGGCCATAGAATTAGAAGTAAGTGTTTTGAGGGTTTTTGACAAACTGTCAAGTTTCTATTTGTATTTTAAACACTGTTTGCGCTCATCTTTAAACAAATGGGTAATTAGACGTCGTTCTGCTTAAGATATTTGATCAAGCTGTGTGCCATCGTGTCATTTTTGGCCCTATATTAAGGGTGAATTGCCACAACCTATATCCATGTTTAAAATAAACAATGAAGTATCCCAAGCACTTTTTAATTATAGGGTATAATGTTTGTCTGAGCTTTCTCTAAGCATTCAGCAGCCCAATAAACACTAGTGTACCACGAGGGTCCATTTTTTCCTACTACAAACAGTTGAGGAGGCGTGAATGCTTTGGTGGGAAACGGGAGGCTCCAAGTTGAGAATGCAGAGCTCACAGTTATTATGGCCACAGCATTGTATTCAACTGCCGCAATTAATTCACTGGTATTAGTCCTATTACTGAAACTATGTACATCTCCTAAAAAAGCATCTCCTCTCAGACTACCTGTTCCTACAGCAAACAGCATATCATTCCCCAATAAATTTAACAATGACACTCAAAGATTAACGCTCTCCTCATGGTCATGTCATAGGTCATATACTGGCAAACTGCCCCTTAACATTAACACTACTAATTAGACGTAGGGCGCAAAAATTCAACCCTTGATTTTACTGTGCCAGATTAATCTACACTGAAATGGACTGGATTCTGAATGCAAGCAAAAATTGACTTTTTTATTGAGCACTTCTCACTGAAGAACACCTCTTTTACCATTGTATGCAGAGCATACTAGTGCTGCACTTAAGTCTGCTAGACTATTTTACACTTAGGGCATCACCCCACCACCTGGAAAATGTTTTAGTGGCAACTGCACCTCAAGGCCAACCCTCAAAACAAGTAAATAAAACATGCTACAGGTTTACATGAAAAGCAAAATTTGCCAAACCAAGCTTGCAGACGTATTAATCAAAGAACTGCAGTACACAAAGCCACAACAAAGTTTCAATCCTAAGGGTGCAGTAAAGGAATACTGTAATACAAACCTGCATGTGATCAGAGAATATTCTCCACTCGTATTGTTTTTATTCACATGTGTGGAACTCATGTCCATACAGAGCATTTTCTCATAATGTTGGTTTCAGGTTTCACTTCTATATGTTTGAGCCAAACAGAACTGTCAAGTTAAGAAAAAGAAAAAAAATAAAAACAGGGAAAGAAAAAAAAAAAAAAATTCTTACACACACACACACACCGAGTGTATTTTAAGTCACTGGATGTCTAATACATGCTGTTTACACCATGTAAATCTGCAGATGGGTGGAATGTTGGACTGCCATTTAAGATCATGGAAGGGGGGTTAACAAACCAGGTTTCATGTGTCCCAGCACATCTGCCAACCGCACCATGCTTCTTTAATAGAATATTTCTAACACAGTTATATCTCTTTGAGAGCTCACCACCTCACCGACCAACAACAGTTTAGACAAAGGTGACGAAAGTGGGATGACATTCAAATCGTACAAAAACGCCCATTAAATCTGGTCTGGTAAGAAACATGGTAACATAGAAAACAAAAGAAAGATGGTCCTTAAATCATCTGAACTTACTGAATGCTACCACTAATCACTGTCAATCCTATATGAGTCTGCAATCCCGAATGTAGAGAACAATTCCTCTCCATTGGTAACACAAAAAAGAAGCTTGCGCAGTCTGTTTCTATGCCATCTGTTTGAGTCCCTCAAATCAGCAACACTCAAAAGTCTGTGTGGGGAGGTACCTGTGGATCCTCTGGAATCATCAAACTGGAACCAAAAACAGAAAAACAAAAAAAAAAAAAAAAAAAAATGGTGGTGGTTGAGGGGTGGGGGAACAAGGACTGATGAACAATCAAAGCAATTTCTTCTCTACTGCAAGAGAAAGAAGAAAAAAGAAAAAAAAACAAAACAAAAAACAAACAAGGAACGTGGTGATAAGCTCTGAAGCTTAAGAGAGAATGTACGTCTTGCTTGTACATCTTCCTTTCTTCTTTTTTTCTCTCTTTTTTTTTTTTAAACCTTTTCGTTTTTAGCTTTTCTTTGTTTTTTTTCCTCCTATAATAGTTGATTCAGTGCAATGCATGGAACGATAAAAGGGTCCCCCAGAATTGGTTTTCTTACAGCTTTTTGTTGTAAGAGAAGTTGTCGGACATAGAGCAGTTTAACTGGTGTCCATGGACTCCATGTTGGCTGACGAGGAATCCCTCTGGATGCTGTCAAAGATGGCAGCAAGCTCAGGGTTGGAGCTGATCTGAGACTGAAACTCACTCATCAGGGGGCTCTTCTCCGCCTCAGGGATAGTCAGAAGTGCCACCACCGCCCGCATGGCTGACCGCTTCAGCTCGTCCTGCTTTTCAAACTCCTGCTTCACAGAGTTAGCCTTTACCTAAGGGTACACAAAAGGAAGTGGGGAGGGGGGCAAGTACCAGTTTGTTCATAAAAACAAACTTTTTTTGTTAAAAAAGGGACAAAACTTAAGGCCTCCAAGATGGCTACTACTGTTTTTATGCAACTCCCCAAATTTTATTTTATATTTTTATTTATTTACATAGTTCTTTTGCAAAAACAGATCTCTCAATTTTAATGAAATTTCATAATTCATGTTTTTTTATAGCTAATAACAAAATATAGGGGTAACTTACAGAAAGTTTATTGAAATTTTTTTATTTAAATTTTGTTTTTTGCCAAATGCAGATAACTCCAATGGTTATTTCATGTTTCACAGTTAAACAAAGATGTTTTATAGATACAAGTATTTAACATTCTTTAACATAAAACATGGATGTAAAATGCTGAAAACTGCACCAAAAACAACATTATCAATATCAAACAACTATAAGATTATACTTTGGAAAATCCTAGGGCTCAGTCTCAAATGGCTCACTGCTCCCTGTAGAGTGCACTATGTAAGTTATGAAATTTTGGCTTTTACACCTAAATATTGCACTTTATGTCCAGCATGGACTTGGGCACACATGGATGAACCCAAAGGGGTTCTTCGTTAGACAGACTGTGCACTGTTTAGATGCAATAATCACTATTTTTAAGTTTGCGGCTTTGTTGCATCACCTGACCTGAATACTGCGATATTACCGATATTGACTTACCAAGAGAGGCTTCAATAAAAGCCGTCTTTTTAAACCTGTTGAGCTATAGCAACAACAAGCAAATGGCTGAGCTTTATGGGGGGAGCTACAGATGGTTTGAAAGTTTAAAATAAAACACACACAACAGGCTTTTCATCTACCTTTCAGCACTGCCGCAAGCTATATCTTATAATTCAAGCTATGAGCAGCTGAAGATTTACTGTTGTACTGTACTTGTGTGTGACTATTACAGAAAATTGTTTGTTTACCTTTGTGGTGCATGTAGCTCTGAGAGGCTCTACCAATCTGTCAAGCCTTTGCAGCACAGCACTAGGGCACAGAGTGGACAGCCTGGCTAGCATCAGGAATGTCAGCATCTAAAAAGAGGAGGACGAAGAAAAAAGGCGGTTAAAAGAACTTCAGCTGTATGAGCGCTCCGTATTTGCATATCGCTCAAATGTTTTCAAAGCATTATGTGGCAGCATCTTTGATAAGACCGCCCAGTAGTCCTATTTAGCCTGTTCACTCTTTCATGTTTCCTATTAACTATACAACGCTACCGAATCATGAAAGATTCATAGTTTGGAGCAATCATGCAAAAACGATGGCCTACCTTGATGTCGTAATGATCTTTAAGTCCATCTTCAACATGGTTGAGAAACTCAAAGATGTCAAGTCTATCGAGGCAACTGTCTAGAAGTGTGTACATACACTCAAATGCAGCCTTTCTGATGTCCAGCCCGTCGTCCACTGTGTGCTTGAAAGGACCCATTTCAACCTAATAAAGGCCGAAGAGAATCTTAATGAGCTTCCACAAAACCATGAGATGGACATGGTGACAAATTAGTAGAGCATGTAAATTTACCTCTCTAATCAGCTCTTTGCGCACTTTGGTCTCATTGTATAAGTGAGGGAGAACAGTGTCCAAGAGGTCTCGGATAAGTGAAGGCTTATTATGGGCTGCAGAGTTGAATGTAACAAGGGCGACCCTTCGCACATTGAGGTCTGGGTCTTCCAACGTTTTCAAGAAATCACCTAAAATGTGAGGGGAAAAAAAAAGCCAAATCATTACATGCATAATTGATATTCAAAATCTTTTCAGATTGGGAAAGAAGTATTTACACCATGAGAGCAACAGAAAATATCCTTCCCAAAAAGCACTTACCTATGCAGTTTTTCAGAAGGGGATCAATTGTCTGTGGGTGGTCTGAAATTGTGAACTTTACAGCAGTAACTACTGAGCTTCTGGCATAAGAAGACCCTGGGGGTAGAAGGAAATAATCAATAAAGGAAAAAAAATGAAAGCAGACTGATTCAGAACTGGGGCAGTAATCAAGCTGTTCGCCTACAGCTCATTCACTAGCCTCACTACTATTGGGTAGTGCTTTAGTGTCTTACTGTTTAAAAAAGGCTACTTTTATCAAGAAATGTGGAGTTTTTCTACCCAAATCTTGGTGATAACCACAGAGCCCATATACTTTTTTGTTCTGTTCCAGTTCCTGACACATCTGAGCTAAGGTACCAGCCATGATTACCTACCTCAGATGTGTTAGGAGATGGAACAGAACAAAAACTTTAAATAAGAGTGGTTATTTGAATGTAGGGATATCGGTATTCCAACAAGGAATGAGTAGTTTGGAATAGAAATACTTCAATTCCACTTTTCCTGCTGTCAATTCTGATAACTAAACTCAGGGTATTGGCTGATAAACATTACTGAACAGGCGCTGTATTCTTCTTCACTGATTTAAAGTCTATATACCTACACACCTGTTTGCTTGACATTCTTCTATGCATTCCTCTTTGTGTAAGAGAACATGAGGATGTATCTAGTATAATACTTCAACTATAAAAGCCAGTTAAATGCATAAGAAATAAATGAAGTGCATGAAAAAGTAGGCTCCCGGATAATGTGCTGTCATAAATTTATAATCACAGTGTCTAGGAACTCACATCTGGCTAATCACTGATCTGATAAACTATTTAATAAGGCCAGTATTAGTGTCAGTACCAATACCATTCCATATTTATACAGAATGTTAAATCTGTACATCACTAATTCGGAAAAACAAAAGAATTTTGTCATCCTTTATATGTTTAATAAATAGGATTTTTTAACAAATGAAATTAAATGTAGCACTGCAGATAATGTCAGGACACACAGAGCTAATACTGCATGTTGTTGCAGCACGACATACAAAAATATTTCAAATAAAAAGATAAGAAAAATCTTACACTGTAACTGTGTTATCTTTCTGTAGGTTAATTGGTATTATGATAAAATCACGTGACAAAACTTGAAGATAATAATCAAGTCATATGCTTGTGCAACAAACAAATGGTTAAATCTCCTGCGTTTTCATTTTTTTGAATCATAATACAAAAATAATATTTTATTTCCAGGCTATTCAAGAAGTATTTATTTAAAAATGCAGATATTCAGACATCAAAGCAAGTTTAAAATGCTCATGCCTAATGAAAATGTGCACTATCAAGAACCTTTGTTCTAATGCACAGAGTATGATGCTCACCTGATAACAGATAGCCCTTTAGCCTGGGCAGTAGTGTCTCTGGGTCAATGAGCGTGAGCTTCCCCAGACATTCGGCTACTACATTGCGGGTGCCTTCCTCTGTGCACTCGCAGTGTTTGAGCAGCAGAGCCCAAACGCTTTCCACATAGGGCTTGAGGCCAGCCACTGACGCTGAGCTGATGATTTCCTTGAGTGAGTGCAGCAGCAGGTACTGACGCTTGGGCTGACCCGAAATCTCCTGCAGCACGAAAGGCAGGTATTCGGGTAGGTTACCCGACGCTGATGCTGCCTAGCGCGTATGAGGCGGCCGATTTCACCTCCTCACTGGCTGAGGAGAATGCATCTAGGATGACCGTTTTGAGCTCGGGCTGGCCGCTCAGGTCTACATGGTGGCCCACCTCACCCAGAGAGAGCAGGGCTAGCAGGCGAATGGAATCAGTGGACCGTGAGTTCTTCACGTCTTGGATGAACTGGCCCACCACAGCAGGGCCCTCTTTGAAGTGGAAAAAAATATATATATATTATATATACACATATTTTATTTATTTATTTATTTATTTATATACATACATACATACACACACACACACACACACACACACACACACACACACACATATATATATATATATTCCTTTTTTTATTACATAAAAATATTTTTGCATCACATGAAAATAAATATGCCATTATTGTATCACTAATACTCCTAGAAAACTCAACAACTGCATGTATCAAAAATCAATCAATTGCAGCA